ACGACCAAATCCATCATCCATACATTCATCATCATGAATCAAATATAAACATCTATAAATGCAAGTGCCTACCCATCACATACATACATAATTAATTTTTGAGTATCAAATAATCGGAGCATAAATTAATATCGTCTATAGACCGCTCTGATACCAATTGTTGGTCTCCGAATTGAATTCAGATGCGGAAGCATGGTGCGGGGAGGCGGATCATGTATAAAAAAAATTTTCATAAACCTTTGAGATACTCTATAGATTATATTAATTTATGCACGAATAAATTAATCTCATTAATTAATTTATTAAGAACTCAATCAAGAAAAATCCCTGGAAGCCGACTCGGATGATAACTTGAGTTCTTTAACCTCGAACAATCCTTACTCCAAAGCTTTGTGTTTAGAAAACCAATGTCTTCCACGTCAATTCTTAGAATCCACGAAGACGTGTATGTGGGCACACATGAGACAAAACGGGTTAAAATAAACACTCGAATTTCTACAAATACTAACGCATGCACGATGTGGAATTTTTGGAGAAATGGTTTTTTTCCTTCCTCTCTCCAAAGAGAATTTCGGCCAGCCTTAACTATTAGGGCAGAAAAATTGTTTCAAAAATTGTCACAAAAATTGTGACTACAGTTTTCTACTATTCTCTTATTTATAGAGTAGAAGTCAAACTTCTAGAAGGAATCAAATCTCTATCTCCAAGATAAAGCTTGTCAATTATCTCCTATTTGAATTTTGAACAAAATCTCCTCTATCCCTTATCCCTTGTGGCCGGCCATGCTAGGGAATTTTCATCCCTGTGTGGCGCCAATTCCCGGACCTGCTCTGGAATTCCCGCTAATGGCGCCGCCATGACTTCAAATTGCCGTCGGTACTCCCTCACGGTGGTCTCTTGCCGGAGAGCGAGGAACTTCTCGTGCAGGCTCCCCTCTTGCGTGGGTCTAAACCGCTCCAGGATCATCCGCTTAAGATCCAGCCAGTCGCGGATTGCTCGCCGTCCATCGTCCCACTAGAACCACGCCAGCGCCTCCCCCTCCATGCTGACTACGGCTGCCTCCAGCTTCTCTGACTCTGAGCTTCGGCTGAGAGCGAAGTACCTCTCTGCTCGGAAAATCCATCCATCAGGATCCTCCCCGTTGAACACCGGCATTTCCACCCGCCGAGTCCGCCATTCTCCTCGATTCGCACCCTCGCGGTGGATCGTGTCCAGTCGTCCTCCGCCTTCATATGCTTCCTGGCGACCCCCAGTGTCAAACGGTCCACCATTCCTCCCGTTCAGACCGCCCGGCGTCATTGTTGGGATCGAAGGAAGCTCCTTACCCGAAGTCGTCGATCCCGATGTGGAAACCTCCCGCTGCCTTAGAAGCTCTTCCAATTTTCCGATCACCATATCTATGCTCTTTTCTAGCTTCAGAATCTTCTTGAGATCTTCACGAAACGCCTCCTGCAACTCTCCCTTCATGGTCTCCAAGTCCCGCTGGACCTCCTCACGAACCTCCACCGCTATCTCATCCACTTTCTTAGCCGGTGCCATCCCAGAATTGTTGCTCTGATACCACTTTGATAAGACTGGATCTATTGAGTAGTTTTTTAGGCAAAATTCACACAGCTTTTACTGAAGGAAAATGAACATAATACAAGAGATGTGGGGGTGTTCGAGTGACCCCTTGCACTCCCTAGAGCAATAGCTCATCTAAGCAATTTCAATTACAACTTCGATGCCCTCTCAGCCTTCTTCTTCTTCCTTTTATTCCTTTCCTCTTCGCTAACCGTTTTCTTACTCCCCGCCCTACTCCCGAGGTATCTCTCGAAGTGTGGATTATTGCGTATTCCCTGCAGCAACTCTTTCTCCCATGCTGCTAGCTCCTTCCATGTCAACCTTCACCTCACCATTCTCCGTAGCACCTTTTACTGCCACCTCGCCTCGACTAACCTTGGGCCTTCTCCTGGCGTAAGTGAAACGTAGTGGGGTCTAGGGGGCCCATCAAAATCAGTGGTAAAAGATGCAAGTATCTAGGTTTCCAAATAGTTCAGACAATTGCAGTGCATTGGCAGTTACATATGAGGGGGGAAAAAAGAATATACTACATTTTCCAATTACATAACTATGATTTAAGCTCAAGATAATCACTCTTTCAATGGCAAATAAGCTATCAACCGCAAATATTTCATAGATGCCATCAATATCTCCAAACTCAACAAAGAGCAGTAAGTCCTCACCTCGTCAAGAACAAGAATCTCGAGCGAACTGCTAACAGAAGTTGATTGAAGAACACCAGCTGACATGCACTTAGTAATGCAAGCCGGAGTCGAAATCAGAATATCCGGCAGCCCCACCAATGCATCCTCTGAAATCATATACCAATAAACAAGACTAAAGTAAGACATAGCAAAATGGCAAGAATCTCCAATACAATGAAATAATATCCAATTTTACACCAAGTTTAGCATATGCCAAATTTTATCCAATTTCACACTAAGTTGCTAATATGCCAAATTTTGTCATTTGGCTGCTATTGGCTGCTATTGGCTGATGTATTAACTTTTTCACTTAATAATTACAATATTTGTATTACCTTTTACACTTAATAATTACAATATTTGTATTAACTTTTTCACTTAATAATTACAATATTGTCATCTTTAAACTATTCAATAACTGAAAACTTTCCTCTTACAAGTTCCAAAGCTTAAAATTTATATGAGAAATATTACATATAGCATTTTAAGTAGTATCATAGTAATATTCATTTTTGCACTTCTTTGTGTCAAATATAGCATTAGAATTTGCATTAAGAAAATTTGCGACTTCCAAATAATTTAGAAGGAACAGGAACAGACCAATTCGTGAGCAGACATACTGCTCGTCAATTGAGCAACTTTCAGTCGAACTCTACACAATTCAATGAGCGACAAGACTTCCCCATAAACCTAGAATTCACAGTTTACCGAATGCGAAAATGAGCTAATTCGTCAACTATTATTCAAAATAAATCACACACACACACACACAAACATACTTGTTGACAGAGTTGGCGTAACGAACACAGATGGAGCAAGCTTACTCCTGGAGCTAGAATCAGAAGACGCGAAGAAGAACCTCTGCAGGAGCGGGACGAGGTACGCGAAGGTCTTCCCCGAACCAGTCTTTGCCCTAGCAACCACGTCCTTACCTTCCCGAAATCCAAATCCAAAACCAGAAAAAAAATCAAAATCAAGATTCATTCATTTCTTCTTTTGTTCTCGCAACTGAAACGAAACGAAACGGAGATTTGGTGGAAGAAAGAAACGTGACGTACGAGAACTAGAGGAATGGCGACCCTCTGAATGGGGATGGGTTTTGAGGATTCGCTTCTTCGTCTTCTATTTGGTTTTGCTTAGTCTGTTTGTCTGCGTTTTCCATTGCTTCCGCCATTGAAGGTCGCAATTTCGTCGGCGGCGGCGGCGGCGGCGGCGGTGGCGGTGCGGTGAGTGACGGCGGGAGTAAACAGAGTAGAGGGTAAAGCAATTTCGTCCTGATTTTAAATGGAAAGTTGTAGTGCCGTAAATACCCCTAAAGAATTTAAAAATGACAACTTGTGCCCTCTCAAGCCTAACGCATCTCTAGAGAAGGAAAATTTTGAGGTCTCCGAAACTCTCTTCACATATCTCCGTCTCCGATTGCCGCTGCATCGACGCTCTACTCAGAAACGTTTCGCTGCTCAGAATTTTGTAAGTCAGAGACGTTTTGCTGCTCGCAATTTGTTAGCTCTAATCAGAACAATCTCTCTTTAGAAGTTATGCTTTCGGGTTGGGTTTAGGTTGTTCCCCTGTTTTTAGGATTGATTGTTATCATGTTTTTCAATTTTTGCTTTATTGTTTCTTTTATTTATTTGTTTATCTTTTGCTGGTGAAGATTAGTGATTCGCTTAATTGAGCTTGATTGGCTTTAATTTAATTATTTGTTGATTGGATTTTTTTTAGTTTTAAAAACCCATTAGGGACATTCTCAAATGGCTGTTTTGCATTTCATCTGTTAAAAGAAATTGAGCAGAAAAGGGGTGTTTTGAAAGGTTTTAAAACAAGTTTAAAGATTATATAGTAGGTTTAGTGGCAAAGGTTGTTTCTTCCAAGTTTAGTTGTTGTGAAAAATGAACTTCACCGTTTTGTGGTTCACTTATTTTCATTGAACCTATAAAAATTGAATTGCTTTTCCTCTTTTTCTGATGTGTGTTCTGATGTGTGATTTGTTCTTGATCATGAAATGTTAAGACGAGAAGTAAAGGAAGGAGGAAAAGCAAAGAGAAATGTGGGCGAAGATGCTAATCCCGGGATTCACCGTCGGACTGGGGCTGCGGAGGATGAGATCTTCATCTTCAACTACAATGTCGTTGCGTTTGTTTGTTTTTGATAAGAATACAACAACACAAAAACCCAACTTCTCTTGGCATGCCAAACTCAAAGCTCCCATTGCGGATATCATTAGTCCAAGACAACTGAAGAGCAGAAGCTTCATCACCCAAGCCAGTGACAGTGATCCTGTTAATCCCGGGCCTATCGACTCCCCTCTTATGCAATCTATGCAACTCAAGGTCAGTTTTCATTCAATCAAATCATACAAGTCTTTTTGTTTTTGTGTTTAATTGAAATGTTAATAGTGTTCATGAAATCGCAGATAAAGGAGCATTTGAATGCGGAGTCAGTGTGCGTGACAGATGCTTATGGAGACGGTCGTCACATCAGGCAACTCTTATAACGTCCTTGTGCTGTTTGATTAAATGTCCAATGCTTTCATGTCCATAATGCAACATAATGGCCGTACATACATATGATGTTCGATGAAATGTCTCGACTGATTTTCCTTTTGGCTGGATTTGGTTGCAGCATTGATGTGGTGTCGTCGGCATTTGAGGGAAAATCGGCAGTGAATAGGCAGAGGATGGTTTACAAAGCTATATGGGAAGAGCTTCAAACCACCGTCCACGCTGTTGATCACATGACCACCAGAACCCCCTTTGAAGCAGCCAACAACAAATAACGAAACACACCTCACATCATCACGTCATAACTTCACATGCTTTTTGTTGCTGCTGCTGTAACTTCATTTTCATTGTGGACCTACTTTTTGGTCATTTATTTTTAAATCAACAAAGAAACAAAGTTGTTCAATCATAAGTTAATATGATAAGGACTCGGATCCTCATGTTATCTCCTCTATTTACCCTCCATCTTGTGAGTTTGTTCTGTTAAAACTCACATCTTCATTATGGAAGTAATTTTTTCTTCAAATGTTTATCTTTTTTAAAGTAAGTTATTTTCGTTGTGAGAAGAGTTTATAAGAGAGGCTGATGGAGAACAACGGTGGCAGTAGACAACGAAACGAGACTTCAAATCAGATCTACAGCAAGAGCGAGGTTGCTAAGATGGCTACAGACTTGGTAGCTGTGGCGATTCTATATCTGTGAGACACTGTCGAAGAAAACTGACTTTTGCTTTCATTCTTCCTTGATTTATATGCTTTGCAATGTGCAAATGAACAGTGTGTGGTCATGTCTTTATTTCTCAAAGGAACTTACGAAGTATTAGAATTTAACATGCTAAAGTTTGAAGGGACTAGTGGTCACTGATTCAACCAAATGTATTTGAAAATTTTGCAAACTCGCAAATGTTTGGTATCATGCATACAAAGAGTAGGGCTTTTGGGATCGTGAAGTTATGGAATTTGTGACATCTAATTGACTCATAATTTTGGAGATGCACTTTCTAGTCGTGATAGAAACTGTTTTTCAAAGAAACTCGCTCTCAAAGCTAAACCTTACCATGCCGATACGAGAATTGAAACTCCTCGAGTCTTTATTGCTTCACTATAACCATAAAATTTAGCATGCATGAAAGAATTCCACCTAAAACATTTATATCAATTATGTGTCTTATCAAAGGGTACTTCTGTTTCGTAAATATGTTCAAAACATGATGGTTTGAACTTTTTTTGGTTTGAAACTTTGCATTTTAAACACGTGTGGTCTCAACTTTCGGTTCAAAACATTGAAAAATAGGGGGATAAACTAAAAATTCTCAAGGTTTTTTTTTTTTTCTCAAAACATTAAATTATTAATTTGAACCAAGTCTCAAAAGGTTTTGCCAAACGCTGGTTCAAAACAACTTTTTGGCTCAAAATACTTGAACCTTTTGTACCAAAAGGTAGGATCTGAATTCTCATTGAACTGACATATACCGATGAGTCGAGATTTGCTGGCTTACACAGTTTATCATACATAGTCTATACATGAATAAATAGTTAGGCTCAACTCATGGCAAGAAGGTAAATGGAGGGTTTTACCTGTAACACTTTCCCAGAAAAAAATTTACCAACTACCTTGCGTTTCTAAGAAAGACATAATTTATAACATAAAAATGTTGCACTGATTAGAGACATGACACAATCACACCTACAAACACCTTGTACTTTGCACCCGAAACCGAACTTTCTATGAATCTCCCAGTGAAGAAAGCAACTTGATATCTGTAGTTTTTGTGTCGGTAACAGCCTTCGATAAAGTAGAAACTTGTACCATTAGGAAACTAGATCGCTTGCTATTTCACCTGCAGTGATCAGCACCAGAAAAAGAGATATGCCAACGTCACACAACCACTGGCGTCATTTATCTCCAAAATACGAAATTTTTGTCCAGATAAAAATGAACGTCATGTTAGACAAATATATTAGCTACACTGTCCCAAAGCCAAAGACAAACATTTGTGCAAGGAATAAAAACAAATTGCGTCGAGCAACTTTGTTTGGTACTACCATTTTGAACCATTTGATTATGTCCAAAAGATCAGTGATCTAAACTTCAAGGGAAACAAGTTTAGTGAGCTTAAGCTGAAATAGATATTTCGTTAACTCTCAGAAGAAAATGCCAGGCTTCTAATACTATGCCTACAACTCTATTATGGAATCAGATTGCATGTCATCCTTCATGAAATACTCACCAAATTGTGCACAGAATCAAAATTGTGCAAATCCTTACCATGCATGGACTTGATGAAGTAATCCAGCTCAGAGAAGCACATTGTTCCTTGAACTAGAGGAGATGGCTGTTGATACACAAAGAATGAGAAATGACGACGATCAGGATCATTTCTCGGTTTTGCCATCTCAACTATTCTCATGTACCCTTCTCTTTCATAACATGACAGTAAATTTTCACCAGCTATAGTCAGTCCTCGATCCCAAGCAGAATTGCAAACCTGTCATTTCCACTTTACGTGAAGATAGAAATAATATCACGGAAATTTGAATATGTAAGAGCTCTCTCTCTCTCTCTCTCTCTCTCTCTCTAAATCTGCATGTTTCAACACATAATATTGACTGCATAGCAACGCTAATGACTATAGAAACTCTAGGATTCACCCAGCATTCACAAAAAGCTGAAAGTAGACGTGAAAGTAAACACCTAACATAGCGTAGGACGAAGAAAGAACGCAAAATGGGCCGTTACCTGCCAACTCAAACCTTCTGGATCAGCCAAAAATTCATTACTATCTTGGGTAGACATTTGCAAGCCTGAGCAAACAAACTTCACTGTCACCCCATGTTTCTTCAGAACCTCGAAAACTGGAGAGTATCCATCCTGGTTTGTCGGATTATAGTATCCAGAAGTTAGCTCCGCTGCATGACTAGGTGTCTTGTACCACCAGTAAACTGCATTAACCTGCAAATGTGTATATCTCAATCATTTATTAGTGGATTTCAACGCCGCTATTAGATCCCCCACAGAAATAACCAACATGCACTTGCCAGTCAAAAGGATGAGTACAAGATAAATTGGGACAGAATGTAATTCGTGTGCAATAAAGGAAAAATTCCCCTGCATCTTCTGTAGAAAACGCAATCTTATTGATTTTGTAAATATGATATATTAGGAAAGTTTGAATTTTATATTTTGTATCCCTAGGATTAGGGTAATTAGTTAGTTTCCTGATATCTCATTAATAATGGGATAAGGTGTAATCTAGGAGATTCTATTTGTGTATAAAAATCTAAGAGGGCCGGCTGTATAGCATCATTCAGAAAATAAGAAATATTTTTTCTTCTCCTATTTTCCCACATGGTATCAGAGCCCTAGGTTTCCTAGGTTAAGTTTTTTTTTTTCTCTTAGGCCTTCATTTCCGTTTCTTTCTTGGCTTTCATTGCCAAACCTCATCCAGGGCCTTCATTGCCCATATCCATTACGAACTTTACGACTGTACGGGCTGTACGGACACACCGAAAAATGCCCCGTTGCTTCTGTTTGCTACTGTCGATTTCTGTTCGGCCTTCATCGCCGGGGTTGTTTCCTTGTTCGGCCTTCATCGCTAGAATCGCTTTCTTGTTCGGCCTTCATCGCCGGAGTTATCAAGTCGCTGTCTCCAGGGAAGGTTGCTGTCAATTATCACGGTTGCCGCCAGAAATTGCTCCAATCAAATCAGCCTTCATCGTTGGTGGAGTCTTCAGTGTAGGACCGGCCTTAATTGCCCTCAAACCTGCTTTGGAAGATGTCGGAAGTGGCAGAAACAACCACTGCAACGTCGCTGGATGAAACAGAGAAACGAGTAAGATCCCTTATAGGCAATCTCGACAAACCATCAGGTACTTGTTCATTGGCGTATTCAGGTGAGTCTTCATTTTCCATTGGATTAAATGTCTCAAATATAACCCTTACCGGCTCCTGGGTCATTGACTCTGGTGCTACCGACCATATGACCCACTCACTAAACATGTTTGCCTCATATGTCCCATGTTCAAGCAGTAGAAAAATAACTACAGTAGATGGATCATTAACTATTGTAGCAGGCATAGAAGATGTTAAAATGAGCCCGTCATTGACATTAAAAACTGTTCTTCATGTTCCTCGATTGACCACAAACCTTGTCTCTGTCCAAAAGCTTACCAAAGATTCACATTGCAGAGTGTTTTTGCACCATAGTTATTGTTTATTTCAGGACGAGGGTTCAGGGAAGACGATTAGACGTGCTAGAGAACAGGATGGACTCTACCTTCTTAAAACACCTAGTCAATCAAGCATTACCAAGGGCACAACATCTCACTCTTTTGTCTCAGAAATTCTCTCATCAAATGAAGGAAAATTTTGGCTTCACTATCGCCGCCTTGGCCACCCATCGTTTAGGATTATCAAAATTATGTTTCCTTCCTTATTTAGAGGTCTAGATATTGAACATTTTCATTGTAAAGTGTGTGAACTGGCTAAACACAAACGTGTACCTTTTCCAATCAGTAATAAAAGAACTTCTATTCCTTTTTATCTCATTCATACTGATATTTGGGGCCCTTCTACTATTCCTAATGTGACAGGGGCAAAATGGTTTCTCATTTATTGATGGTTGTACTCGAGTCACTTGGATATTTTTGCTTAAACAGAAATCCAATGTCAGTAATGTCCTTCTAAATTTTTGCTCTATAGTAAAGACCCAATTTGGGGTCAATATCAAGAGATTCAGATCAGACAATGCTAGGGATTATTTCAATCAAGTCCTCACTCCATATTTCCAAAAGGGAGGAATCATCCATGAATCATCATGTGTCAATACTCCACAGCAAAATGGAGTGGCGGAAAAGAAAAATGGTCATCTTCTCGATTCCACCCGATCCTTTATGTTCCAGAAAAATGTGCCTAAATCTCTTTGGGGGGAAGCAGTTCTTACATCTGCACATCTTATAAATCGTTTACCTTCTAGGATTTTGGGTTTCAAAAGTCCAAGGGATGTACTTTCCTCATTCTATCCAAATCTACGCACTGCGAATAATCTTGTTCCTAGGATATTCAGGTGTGTGGCATTTGTCCATATCTATACTCCAAACAGAGGGAAATTAGATCCTAGGGTAGTCAAATGTGTTTTTGTGGGCTATTCTTCTACTCATAAAGGATACAAGTGTTACCATCCTCCCTAAAAAAGGTTCTATGTCTCAGTTAATGTTACTTTCCATGAAGACAAATCCTATTTCATTGATCCTTATCTTCAGGGGGAGAATTCAGTAGTGGAAGATAAGGATAGGGAGAATTTTCTATCTCTTGATCTTCATCCATCAAAACCCGAGTTTCCCCAAACTCACTCCACTGAACCCGAGTTTTCCCAGCCTCACTCTCCTAAACCCGAGACTCACTCCACTGAAACCGAGCCTGACAACCCAAATTCTGCCCTTGAGAATGTAAGATTTGGCAAAGGCGAAGTGTTTTCAAGAAGGAAGAAGGCTATCCCAGAATCTGTGCAAGTTCAAGACTCCAATCCAAGTTCTGGAAATGAGGTAACAATTTCTAATCCTTTTTCTGAAACCTATATAAATAATGATGATCAGGATCTTCCCATTGCCAAAAGAAAAGGAGTTAGAGAATGTGTAAGTCGACCTCTATACCCACTTGCGCAATTTCTTTCCTTTGAAAAATTCTCACAATCCCATCAAGCCTTTGTTGTCAGCCTAAATACTATTGCCATCCCTACCAACTTGTCTGAGGCTTTAACTGATGAAAAATGGAGATAGGCTATGAATATGGAGATGGAAGCATTGGAGAAAAACAAGACTTGGGAGCTTGTGAAATTGCCTGAAGCGAACAAACTAGTGGGATGTAAATGGGTTTACACCGTGAAATATAGGGCAGATGGTTCAATAGAGAGATACAAGGCGAGGTTGGTTGCTAAGGGGTATACCCAAACCTATGGGATTGATTACCAAGAGGCATTTGCTCCGGTGGCTAAAATGAATACGGTAAGAGTTTTGTTACATTAGCAGCCAATTATAATTGGGAGCTACAACAGTTTGATGTCAAGAATGCGTTTTTACATGGAGAACTAGAGGAGGAAATCTACATGGAAGTTCCACCGGGTTATGGTCACAACTTAGCTGCACACACAATATGTAGATTAAAGAAGGCCTTGTATGGACTTAAGCAATCGCCGCGAGCATGGTTTGAAAGATTTGCAAAGGTAATGACAACTATGGGATATCGGCAAAGTCAAGGAGACCATACACTGTTTGTCAAACACTCATCCTCAGGGGGAGTTACAGTCCTCTTAGTGTATGTTGATAACATAATAGTGACGGGAGATGATGATGAGGAAAGGCAGCGTCTCAGTCGATGTTTAGCTAAAGAGTTTGAGATTAAGATGCTAGGGAGGCTGAAGTATTTTCTGGGAATCGAGGTGGCTCATTCCAAGCAAGGTATTTTCATCTCACAGCAAAAATATGTTACAAATCTTCTCAAAGAAACCGGGAAGACCGCGTGCAAGCCGGCAAGCACTCCAATAGATCCAAATTTGAAGCTCGGAGAAGCGGAAGAAGATGTCGCAGTGGATAGAGAGATGTATCAACGCTTGGTGGGGAGACTTATCTATCTATCTCATACTAGGCCAGATATAGCATACGCGGTAGGTGTGATTAGTCAATTCATGCATAATCTGCAGGATGCACATTTACATGCAACATACCAAGTATTGCATTATCTCAACGGGACACCAGGCAGAGGTATTTTGTTCAAAAGGAATGGAGGAGTGCTTGAAGCGTATACAGATGCAGACTATGCTAGGTCAGTGGTAGACAGACGGTCAACTTCTGGTTATTGCACTTTTATTGGTGGAAACCTTGTGACGTGGAGGAGTAAGAAACAAAATGTTGTAGCTCGTTCTAGTGCAGAGGCCGAATTCCGAGCGATGGCTCAGGGTGTGTGTGAATTGCTATGGTTGAAGATTATTTTAGAAGACTTGAAGATTAAGTGGGATGGCCCAATGAGACTTTGCTATGACAACAAATCTGCAATCAGCATAGCTCACAACCCAGTACAGCACGATCGAACAAAGCACATTGAAATCGACAGACACTTTATCAAAGAGAAGCTAGACAGTGGCCTGATTTGTACACCCTATGTATCTACACAGGGTCAACTTGCTGATGTACTCACGAAAAGACTTAGTAGTTTAGTGTTTCAGAATCTTGTGTCCAAGCTGGGAATGGTGAACACCTATTCACCAGCTTGAGGGGGAGTGTGGAAAACGCAATCTTATTGATTTTGTAAATAGGATATATTAGGAAAGTTTGAATTTTATATTTTGTATCCATAGGATTAGGGTAATCAGTTAGTTTCCTGATATCTCATGAATAATGGGATAAGGTGTAATCTAGGAGATTCTATTTTTGTGTATAAAAACCTAAGAAGGCCGGCTGTATAGCATCATTCAAAAAATAAGAAATATTTTTTCTTCTCCTATTTTCCCACATCTTCATGTTCAACAATTATCATACAACCTTGTATCAAGAAATTTGCTTATCATTTTCAGCATAGATGACCTGATAAAGGGCAGAATAGGAAACATGATTCGCTCATGTTTAAGGATCCTCAAGATAGGAATCATCTCTTAAAGTTTAAACAAACATTAATATGTTGTGGATTTGCCTTTTTGACTTGAAGAATGACGCTGATTGAGCTGTGCTTTGTAAATGCAGGTAGAGAATTAATAAAGTAGCAAAGTACAAAAAGAGAACAAAATGACGCACTAGTTTAGGGGGGGAAAAGTCATAACTAATAACCTTACCTTAACAACCATTTCTGTTTCCTCAAATGCAAGGTTGGCAAGAGACAAAACATTGTCTGCATGGTCTATCAATGATTGGGCATACCAGTGGAGGAAAAAGCGTCCATAATAGCTATCATAGTCGCCCCGTTCGCAAAAAAAGCCAGTTTCATGCGGTCTGGAATTGTATTCACCAGCATTATCAGGTCCCCTTGCCCAGAATGAGTGTCCACGTAATTTAGCTGCTTTTCGCAGACTTTGTTCTAGGTACTTATCATAGCACTGTAAACATATGACAAATATGAATTTAAGGAGTTTCTGTACATAAAACTCTAAAAAGATATGAAGCACTCCAGATATGAAGCACTCCGGCTTTGAAGTGCAATATCCACAGACTATCAGAATCCAGTACTTTTTTATGAGATAGGCACACAAATATGTAGTACTTTGAGTCTCAAAAGTGACAACTTATCTTCTAATAAGATCATGGTTCTAAAACGTAAATGGGTGCCTTAATAGATACCTGGAACTCACCGATACCAGGATATTTCCATCCCATTCGCTCTGAGAAGGATGGATACTTGAGCTCCCCAGACGGTCCAAGTCCAATCTCCACAGCACAAATAATGCCCTCAGCAAACAAGTCATCAAACTCTGTGCGGAAGCTTCTCATTAAGTCGAAATAGACCTGCATATTGGTTGCTACTCAGTCAAATGAAGAAGACGAAAAGCCGGAGAAGTCTTATTCTCTCCCATTTTTCTGGGAAAAAAAATTCATTTAAAATGATTTATAAGAAGGCAAACAAAAACGACAACGAGTTCTCCAAATAAAACAAAATAAAATAAAAATAAAAGCACCTACAAAAGAAGATTCCACTCCCTAAACAAATCCGACATTTTGAAATTACAAAAAGCTGTCTCAGACAGCCACATAGCAACTTAAAATTTCACTCTCCCAGAGTTCAATTTCCTAACAGACCAAGTCATTGAAAACCCTTCTATTTATTCTAAACCAGATTGACCAACACAGGCCCAAACTAGCATAGTTCCAAATCTTTCTCCCTCTCTTATTTGAAGCCGGGAAGGGAAGAAGAGACAAACTCGTCTACACATATCAAAGGCACCACCCAGCTTAGATCAAACTCTTGCTGTATTCTCACACCCATAGACATATGGCTAAATAGATTTTGAAAGACCAATCCAAGTCAGAGAAGCAAAATGAACAGATACACGTGAAGCCGTTATGGTTTCATCACATTGGAGGTAAAACATTCTCTATATGATTATGATATGAGCATTGCGTACCTCGATACCGGTTCTTCCTTGCAGGACCCGTTCTTTGTCAATACCCCAAGATAAACACTCAGTATTCCTCCTTCCTTCACGATCAGTAAAGAATATATCCGGGTTTTCCTTTCCAATCTCTAGAACCCACTGAGGAAGAGTGATTAGTGTTTCACCAGATTCACTTGCTGCATACTCATGAAATGCCATCACAACCTTCAAAGCGTAGATGCATGTATAATCAACAAATGAATCTTACTATTCTTATGCTATGATGTTTCTAAACAGCTATGCTAGATTAATCAATCAAGAATATGCCATTACAATTTTACTATGCTTGGAATGTGATTAATGAGGAGAGTTAGTTACCTGCAACTTGAGCTTGAAGTGTCGGACAATGTTGAAAAGATGTCGATAACCAGACCAAATGTATTTTTGTGGGGTCCAGCTCTCAACAATACCCCACCAACATTGGACAACAACACCATCAACGTTTAGAGACTGCAGATCAGTTAGCTCTTGTTGCACACTTTCAGGGTCAACCAGTTGACAGAAATTGTTGATAATAACACTCTGCCAAACAAATAGTTACATTTGAAGGGGGAAAAAAATACTTAATTTTGTTGATAAGGTCTTGTTTTGTGCTTCCAAAGCCATCCGTTCCTAAACCACTTACAGTGTTAAAATCACGGGAAATGAACCTTAATTATACCGCTGCTATTTTTCGACTACTAGTACTAATAGTAATCATAATATCATAACTATTAGTTGGATGAACATCTTAAATCAACAATACACCTAAGTTGAAGAAATAAAAAGTGGAAATGGCAGATTTCAAAGCAACCAAATGTTCTAGTGAGTAATAGAATAATTTAATTTGATTAAAGGGAGGAAAAACTTACAGATATCTTGACATAAACAGGGACGTAAGGTGTGGCCACAGAAGGAAAATCTTCTTGTTGCATAAGTTGCTGCATCATCAGTATAAAAACAAAAAATAAATAAATAAAAATTAAAAAAAAATTCTTAAGCATAACCCAAAAATATAAAGAACAGAAATAAATTAGTAATGTTATATGTAATATGTAATGTTGGAGAAAGAAGCAGACATTTTGAGTTTGAGGCGAATGAATAGAGGCAGTGGTGTCTGCTGTGTCGGGCGGCGGCGCAATTACAACAGAATCAAGAGATGTTGGAGACATTGACATTGACAAGGTGTTGGTGTTGGTGTTGTCGTGGATTGGGAGAAGGGAATCGACATCTACGTCTACAAGAGAATCTCTTGATGAAGATTGTTGGCAATTGTTGTTGTTGTAAGAAGCATCACCATGATGTCCATGATGTTGAGGCCTGTATGTGGTGCCGTCAGGGTCGACAAGCCAGCCAGCCTGGCGAGCAAGGGCAGCAAGAACGTCATTCATGTCGGCGCGTGCGGGAAGAGGGAAGTTGCCATACTGACGAAGGCCGGCAAGCATGCGGCTGGTGATGGCTCGACGATGACGCTCTCGAAGCTTGGTCCTCTCCTTCTCTTTCTCCCTCTCCCTTTCTCTCTTCCCTCCTTTCGATGGATTATCAGAAGGAGAATGACCGCCGGTGGTGGTGGTGTTGGGACCCAATTGATGAGTGGCAGCGAAACCCCTGGGACGTCGCCCTTGAGGCTGAGTCGGAGTCTGAATCGAATGAGGGAAAACCTCAGGAGGGTCACTTTGATCCTCCTCATTCATCATCTTATTTTCCTTCTCATTCATCTCCACGTTCGGATTAATATAAGCCCAGAACTATCTCACGTACTCCCTCACTATAAGCACTTTTCATCCAGAATATATCCCTATTTCCTCGCTCTCTCTTCATTGCTAAATCCGATTTCTTTCTTGGGATTATTGCTGCCTCCTCGAACGAAGCATTAGAAACTTTACTACATTTTACGATCACAAGGACACATCAGACATAATACACAAGTCTTCTTAACATTTTAAGATCACAAGTATACATTACACATCAGAAAAAGAAGAAAAGCAATTCAATTTTCACAAGTTCAATGAAAATAATTGAGCCCCAAAACGGTGAAGCTTATTTTCCCAACAACTAAACTTGGAAGAAACTCCGTCAAAAATAAATAAATAAACTTGGAAGAAACAACTTTTGCCAATGAAAATCTACTATAATCTCTTTAAACTTGTTCCAAAACCTTTCAAAACGCCCCTTTTAATACTCAATTTCTTTGAACATGATGAATTTTACATGAAATGCAAAACAACCATTTCAGAATTTCCCTGATGGGTTTCTAAAATTAAAATTCCCAGTCAACTAATAATTAAATTAAAGCCAATCAAGCTCGATTAATTTAATCAGTAATCTTTAGAGCAAGAAAACAAACTTAATCAGTAATCACTTGAATATAATACTTCACTATGTAGGAAGCAAAAATTGAAAAACATTATGACAATAAAGCTTAGAAACAGAGGAACAACTAACGTCTAAGAGAGAGAGAGGGTTCTGATTAAAGCTTACGATTTCTGAACAAAGTATAGGCGAAACGTTTCTGAGTAGAGCGTTGGAAACAGCTACGGCGATTTCTGAACGGAGCGAAAACGACGACGGCGGCAATGGCAATGGGAGACAGAGATAGGTGAACAAGAAGTTGAAGTGATTTTGGAGAGCTCAAAATTTTCCTCTCTACATATAATGAATTTTTTTATAGAAATACTTTTTTTTTCGAGTCAAAAAAAGGTACAATAGCAAAAATGGTCCATAAAGTACATGAGTTCAAATCATAATTTAAATTAGGGTTATTGAATATGACTTGAAAGTTGTAGCATAACTAAAAATTTATACTGTAGCAGAATTTATATATTTAGGTTATATTTATTTCACTTATTCGGGTTTAAAATTTAAATTTTGTTACAGAAAAAAGTTCTCACAAACAGTCAAATCTAACTTTTTTACTACAATAAAAAGCTCTCACATAAAATTACATTTAAACTCAAATTAAAAACTCGAATCAGCGAACTAAACGGGCCCTAGCTACAATAAAAAGCTCTCACATAAAATCACATTTAAACTCAAATTAAAAACTCGAATCAGCGAACTAAACGGGCCCTAAATATAACTTAATTAATCTTATAGGTTATAAGTGCAATGGTCAAGAGCTTAAATTTCTCGTTTACAATATAAATTAGCTAACCGCTTGCGTTGTTGTGAGAAATACTGTTATATTATATAAAAAATTAGAAATTTTTATAGTATAGGATTAGTTTATGTATGCATATATAGAGAGTTAGAAGTTTATTACAATGTATTATAGCTGTTGTTTCCTTTTTTTTCTTTTGTTCTTTTTAACTACAAAATACAATTTTTTTTAAAAAAATTAATAATAATAATTATAGAAGTTGCAAATCTTTAATTATATGTAGTGTAAATAAAGGATTTAGAAGTAGTTATATTACCTAGTCTTTAGGTGTTTCTGGGTGGGTCTGTTGCTTTTGGTTCATAACTAAATTGATTAAAGATTGTTAATATATGTATTCAAAATAGTAAATGTTGATTTTAATTATAATTGATATAAATTAGTAAATATGTCTTACCTTATGGTCAATCTTTTTAGATATGGTGTTTTTAGATCTATTGTTGTGGCAGCTGATATTTGTGATAGTGGTATTGAAAGATGGACAACTTCAAATATTTTTGATACAACTGCAGTTATTTGTGCTCCAGTTATTTGTGCTCCTCTTTGTTGAAAATAAACTTGCAAGGTTTTTGTTTGTCCTTTTAACTGAGCAATGATTGGTAGAATTACAAATGGATCAGTAAAGCCTTAATCAATTGTTAATGTAGAGCATGATTTGTTTATCAATGCTTGTGTTGCTTTTCCAACCACTGAAGTAATTTCTAGTTTAATTTATTTAAAAATGTGCGACTTTATTTTATTTTACTGTATTTTTATTTTATTTTATTTTTCATTCAAATTATTTATACTATTATCATTTGAGAGGCTTTGAAAATTTAGTGTAAAATGATATTAAAATGGATAAAATCAGACCACAAATCAACACATTTCTTTTTTAATGTTTTTTAGTCTTTGCTTAGTTTTAGTCTCATACGCGCGCTACACACACATGATTAATTTAAAATAACGGCTAATACAAATTGTTAAAAAAAAGTAAAAGCATACGACATAAAAGAAATGAAAATAATACAACAACAACAAGCCTTAATCCCAACTAATTGGGATCGGCTATATGGATTTCACTTTTCCACACAACTCTGTTCGAAATTAAACTTTCCTGAATGCCTATATCTAGAATGTCTTTCCTAACGACTTCGGTCCACGTAATTCTTGGTCTACCCCTCCCTCTCCTAGTATTAGGTATAAGAATGTCCTCCCAAGCACAAATTGGTGCTTCTAGTGGTCTACATTGGACATGCCCGTACCACCTCAAGCGGTCTTCAGGCACCTTATCTTCTATTGGTGCTACACCTACTTTACTACCAATAACTTCATTCATTATGCAATCCATTCTCATATGACCACTCATCCATCTTAACATACGCATTTCTGTCACACTCATCTTAGATATATGTTGTCTCTTAATGGCCCAACATTCACTACCATATAACATAGCTGGGTGGATTACAGTTTTATAAAACTTTCCTTTCAACTTAATAGGCATCTTGCTATCACATAAAACTCCCGTAGCATTCTTCCACTTAACCCACTCTGCTTTAATCCTATATTAAATATCTTCTTCTATATCTCCTTTGTACTACATATATACTTAAGGTACCTAAACTTTCTAGAAGCCCCAATCTCCACACCATATAAAGAAATTACATCACTTTGATTACTTGAGTTACTAAACCTGCAATGCATGTATTCAGTTTTCATCATACTTAACTTAAATCCCTTCGTCTCGAGAGTTTGTCTCCACAGTTCTAACTTATGGTTAACCTATTCCCTATGTTCATCAACTAAAACTATATCGTCCACAAAAAGCATACACCAAGGAACTCTATCTTGGATTTCTCTTGTCAGCTCATCCATCACGATGGTGAAAAGATAAGGACTAAGAGCAGATCCTTGATGAAGGTCGATCCGAATGGGGAACTCTGACGTGTAGCCTCCAGTAGTTCTCACACTCGTGACCACCCCATCGTACATGTCCTTAATTACCTTGATATACCTCACATGCACTTCTCTCTTTTCTAGCACCCACCATAAAACTTCCCTCGGCACCCTATCATATGCCTTTTCTAAATCTATAAAGACCATATGTAGGTCCGTCTTGGCTTCTCTGTACCTTTCTATCAGCATCCTAAAAAGAAAAATGGCTTCTATGGTTGATCTGCCTAGCATGAAGCCAAATTGATTACCTGAGATGGTAGTTGTAGCCCGTAATCTCCTTTCGATAACTCTCTCCCAAAGTTTCATAGTGTGGCTTATTAACTTTATGCCCCTTTAATTGTTACAATTCAGCACATCTCCTTTATTCTTGAAGATGGGGACAAGAATGCTTTTCCTCCATGCATCAGGCATATGCTTCTTCTTTAGTATCTCATTAAATAGCTTAGTGAGCCACACAATTCCAGCATCTCCTAACACCATCCAAACCTCTATTGGAATATCATCTGGCCCACATGCCTTCCCCTTTTTCATCTTCTGTAGTGCAATTTTAACTTCTGAGACTCTAATTCCTCGTGTATACATCACATTAGGTTCTCCTTGTGATCTAAGATTGTCAAACTCTATCGTATGATCATCATTATAAAGCTTCTTAAAGTAACTCATCCACATTTCCCTAATGTCTTTATCTTTTGTCAGAACCTGATCCGTATCATCCCTAACACACCTCACTTAATTTAGGTCCTGTCACTTCCTTTCTCTTATCTTAGCTAGTTTATATATATATATATATATATATTCTTCTCTCCTTCTCTAGTCCCAAGTTTCCTATATACCTCATCTAAGTAAGTAGAACGAGCCTTACCAACTGCTCGCTTAGCTTCTTTCTTCGCTTCTATGTACTTATTAAAAGTTTCAACATCCTTACGCTTTGATAAATCTCTATATAAATCCCTCTTGGTCCTAATAACCTGTCACGCCCCTAAACCGAGGTTAGTGACGTGGAGGCTCGTTTAGAAACTTAAACCTGTTTGAGAGAGTGATTAGCAAAATAATTTAATTTCTTTCAAATCTAAAACATCCAGGTATTTCCAAACGAGCCCCTGCATTCAAGAGAAATTTAATTTCAAGAATGGTGGTGGAATTTCCAACCAAACCAGTCTAAAATCACGTCCCTGGTATCATGTCAGGAATTCCCACAGGTGTTTAGCATACATGAACATAAACAAAAGTAAATATGACATCAACCACAGTCTAGTAATATTTAAGTTTACAATCCATAATCTCTTATACATGCCTTGAAATAAAAGATAAGAGGAAATACAACTCTTCGCTTTCCTGAAACAAGTCCACGTCACCGGTAGTAGCTACCTACTCTGCACTACTCCTTGCGTCGTCTGGAGGGGTTTAATACATTTGAAAACAGGAAAATGTGAGCGAAAGGCCCAGTAGGATATAATTTTATAAAGCATTTAAAATAAAGGTATTCACAGTCCGAAGATATACACCCGGAACCGATCATCCTCCTTTTTTAAAAAAAAAGGAAATACTCACATAATAGAATATGTCTGTATAATGAAAGTGTGCAGCTCATCATACCACTAAACAAGAAGCGGTAAAAATATCGGTCTAATGAAAAGTGCAGAGCCATAATTCCACTAAGCAAGAAGCGGATCCATACGGGTTTCGGGACCTGCCCCCAAGGATGCAATTCCCACATCCTGATCTCTATGGCCACCATGCATTGTATCATTCCTTAAAATATTTCATTTTAAGAATTGATATGCTTTGAAATCTCATTTCCAAAATCATTGGAAAACTTAATAGCATTCTCAAACTATTTCTTTAAAATCATTTTCTTTAAACATGTTTTGTTCTAAAACATTTTCAT